TGGTTGCTGTAGAGGTGCTGTTTTCTCAGGTAGCCCAATGGCCACAGAGACACTGAGCCCCATGGCTGAAGGAAAGGGGTGGTCCTGCAGGGGGCCAATTGGAGCCCTGCAGGTCGCTGATCTCCCTCAGGTTCCTCCTTCACACAAATGAGAATATTCACAGGAAGGTGTGTCACATTTTCTGATGGAGGCCACACATCCCTTTGATCCTGTTTCAGCCTGCCAAGATGCCAAGATGGAGGTTCGTGCAGAAGAGACGTTCTCAAGAAATAGTTACCATCTCGGCTGGGGCAAGGAGGCGGTGGGACGGGGCCTTAGCTTGTTGTTTTCCATTCTGCAAATCATGCAGCAGTGAAGAAAGTCAAGCAAGGGCTGTCTTTGTGTGTATGCGCTCAATATAAGAATAAAGGTCTGAGAATAAAACAGAATGCTCTTCCACCTGATTCTGTTATTTGCACACATATAACTCTACAAAAATAGATGTTTCCTAGAATGCATCGCTATTCGTATGACACTTATGATTTTATGTATGAACTGGACAAAAGTTTCCACTTGCTTAATTATACTTTGCATCTGGGAACTGATCTGTAGCCTGTATCTTACTCCATTTCTTTCATTAAAAGTGGGGTCCTGCAACAAAATGTTGCAGCATGGAATGCTCCTGGCTATTTCATCTCCAAGAAAACAATCCATCTTCTTGTCTAGTGACTTACAACACTGAGAAAAAAAGAGCAAAAAAGAAAATAAATTGCTTACTTCATGCCTTCCCCCACATCCTTATTTTATGTGCATTTGTCTGGTCATAAGCTAAATAAAAAATACATCTGACCAGTTCTTATGAGGGGGAGTTGTAGAGTTGTCAAGCCATCTCTCTTCTTGAAAAGGATGACTGAAGCTCAGGAATCACAAAGCAAGGTGAGGCAAAAATTCCTGCAGGTGGGGAAATAGACCACCCATCAATTTTGCAAGCAGTTGCTGTGGTTTCAAATATATTGCAACTGAGCCAGAAATAAATCAGGACAGCTATCAAATATAACCATTTTCATGGAATCCCAACGGGCCAGAGCTGATTTCAACCTGGTATACAGTCTGCCACTGGAAATGTCCCAAATTGTTTAACAGGAGTAAACAGATATTGAAAAAGAGGACATTGATACTAGGCATTCCTTAGATTATTGTTCTAGCTGAATTAATCAACCCTTGGTCTCAAAAATCAAAACCAAAAACTGAATCAGTGCAGTTTAAAACCATCTCCTTATCAGTCCTATCATCCTCCTAGCCAAGGTTTCATAATCTGAAGAAAAAAGATTGTGGCATGCACACAGAATGTATGAGACACTGGACAGAAAATTTGAGAGAAAGGACAGCATGGTGGAAAATAAAAGTACACCGTCTGATCTAAATTCCCAGTTCACCTTATTTTGCCTAGGACTCCAACAATCCAAGCAACAAATCAAGCAACCTTCTAGAAAATAATGTTTAAATAAGGCTTGGCTTGGAATCTGTTTGGCTGGACAATAGCCTAACTGGTTAAATATTTCCAGAGACTCCAGGAATCAGTGTAATGTTTAGCACCAAACACAAAACAGTTGATGACACAGATTATTTGGTAAACTCATTTCCTGAATCTTAGGGATTCAAAACAAATAATTCAGGGACAGAAAATTTAAGAGTTTTCCATTTAAAAACTCTTTTCTATCAGAAAAATATCTTATTAGTATAGGGTATTTAGCAGCTTCAACCATTTCTGTGCTAGTTACTGGTTTACTTAGCATTCCACATTAGTGGTTAGTTGCTGTATTTGAAGGAACTGGATGTTCAAAAATGTTCTAGTGTGTAAATGTCGAGGATAACTTCCAGCACTTACCAAAGCTTACTTCTTCAGGGAAATAGAACTGATGAGAATGGCCTCCAAATGCAAAAAAATAACAAAAGACAAAGGACAGAGAAAGAATGTAATAGCAAACACTAAACTAAAGCAAGATGTTGAACTAGATGACCTCCCAATTTCCTTCCAGCTCTATGATTTTGCAATCAAAATGTGCTGATGCTGGGTTTACTCCCATGATTCCTCAAGTGGCATAACAACACATGAGAAAGCAGATGCCCATTAGAGGGGAGTTGGGCTGATAGAACATTACATTCCTTGACCTACAGACTGTCTGGATATAATGCTAAATATAACAGTAAATAAGGCCCATGAGGGCCAGGCTAAGCCCCAGAGCCTATAGAGCAGTGTTTCTCAACCTTGGCAACTTGAAGGTGGGTGGACTTCAACTCCCAGAATTCCAAAGCTGAAGTCCACCCATCTTCAAGTCGCCATGGTTGAGAAACACTGCCATAGAGTGTTGCCAACTGCAGTGAAAGTTTTACTGCTACTAACCTCCATCCAGTGGTTTCAGAAATCTCCACTATTCTTGCAGCATTACTGACCACGTGCCAATTGTAGTAATGGCTTAAAATTGGCATTCCGCAGTACCAAATCCAGGAGAGATGGATCTGCCAAGTCCAACATCTTCTTACTCTTGAGAAGGTAGAAGGACATACCAGCCTTAGAGCTGGATAGTGTTTTTCCCATCCAATCCTGTTCTCTACAATGGATTTTCCTCCCCACATTCTTTGGCCTGTTCTTCCCATAAGCAGCCTTTTCATGACAGCTACTACATATTTAAGATGGCTGACATATTTGCTATAATGAAAACCCAGCAGCTTAGTTTCTGGGTGTTCAGTAATGTTTACGTGGCGTACAGCATAGTGCTTTTCCGTTTTGCATCTTTCAAGCTAAGGCCTCTTTAGATAACTTTCACAGAATGGCCAATCATCTCACTAAAGCTTTGAAAACAGAACGCTTCTAGGTACTTCAACAATTTTATCTGTTTCCCCAAAAAGTGGGGAAACATGTGTCAGTTATTCAATATTTTCTGAAACACTTAGCAAGGAACACGTGCAGCTTTCCAGGGAGTCGCATCACTTTCTTGAAATACATTGTTGATAAGAATGGTGACTCACTCTTCCAAATTAGATGCAATTAGAAAACCTGAAAAGTTCCTGTAAAAACCTGACACCAAACCCACTATTTTTGGAGACAATTAAAAAATCAGGACGCAGATGCATAATCAAAATGGTTTTAGGGAAGGTCTCTCTCTCTCCTGCTGTGATGTTTCTACTGCTAAGAAGAATGCTGAGGACTTCTGTCACCTCCATCTATACCTTCTGTTCATATTGTAATTTTGGGCATATCTTATCTCTGCCTGACCTCCGAACCGGTAGCCAGCCAAACATTTCTGGGAACTGAATAAATAGAGGGTGAGGTCAAAAACATTACTTTACTATTTGTCCTCCTCAGCTTTAGGCCCCAAATAAAGAAGTTTCATTTACCTATCATAGCAACTAGGAGCAGTTACCATGGGTGGAACGATGTGCAACTCTTGACTTATTCAAGAGCTACTCATTTCTTTCAGAGGACTCTCCCATCTAGGCTGTGCTTTATGAACTATAGATTGGTCAAGCATATTTCAAGCTAGTCCATTGTGTGACTGCTGTGTATGTGGCGAACGTACGGTTCAGGGCAAACCCAGAAGAATTGCATTAATTCAATAAACTATGAGTAACGATATTGTACCAACACAGCCAAAGCAAGCTTTTTTTTTTCACTTGTTTTACCTGCTTAATTAAGAGCCTTCTGAAAAAAGGGGTGGGGCTAGAGAAGGGGGTAATAAATCTAGACTATGAACTCCCTGAGTGGATGAGTGCTGCAGACTCTTGGCCCTTTTATTTTGACATAGCTAGGAACTGCCAGTCGCCATTCTTGAATAAATAGTTATTGTGTAACCAGAACAAGGCCACCTCACAAATGGTTTTGATGCTTCAGATACAGAGCAGCCCTGAAACAGAGGCTTGAAGGTCATTATGATCCAAGCCAAAAATTTACAACAATAATACTTCTCCCTCTTAGAGGGGGTTGGATCAGCTGGGAGAGAGATGTACAGACCTAGAATTTTGGTTAGACGATGACAAAGTAATCAGATTATTCCCTAGTCTGGAGGAAGGAGAGATACCAATGGCAGGCCTATCATGATACACCAAGCTCTCTACCCTAGCTAACAAGGCACTCACTGCCTCTTCCCCCCAGCCTGCCCCAAGGACTAAGAGAGGTCGCAGAGCTTCAGTGGGCCAGAAAGCAGAGCACTCCGGCAGCTAAATAATTCATGGAGGTGCGGTTTGCTCAGACTGCCATTTCCGCAGCGGCAGAAAAATTGCTGCCAGTACGAAAGGCTCTCTGGCCAAGAGATGTAGGCCCTGAACTTGGCATGACCTCCAGCCCACCATATATTAATTGAGGCACTCCAGAAAAGTTTGTTAGGGCTGATGTGTTTTGAAAATAATGTCACACTTCAAAAGACATTATGGTCGTTTCATGTCTCCTGCTTGAGAAACACCTCAAGCATAATGACAAACTTTGTGGAGCATTTCAGCAAATAGGCTATGTAGCACTTTTTTTTAGAGTTGTTAAAGAGAGCTCAAGATGTTAGATGGACTAATAAACTGCTGCTCAATTTTTTTTTAATTAAATTGTCATTTTTGACAGAATACAATATGGTTATAGCTAGAACACCGGCTTTGTTGATACTTTTTCAGCCTATAGAAGTGGAATATGCCGAAATATTTCTTGGAGGATCTCAGCATACTACATATATTCACAAACTTTGCTCACCATTCAACTACAAACTTTGTTCACCAGGACAACTACAAACTTGGGCTCTCTACTCAAAATACAATTCTTTGAGGAAGAGGCCTATTGCCACTCCTAAAACTGCCAAATCCATGGTTAGACTATAGCATAAGCTAATAATGTGCAGTTTCTTTTCCATCTCCTTCTTTTAGTTAGAACCATCACATAGTGGCCCAATCTGGCCTGAAATCACTACATAAGGAGGAAGGAAAAATATCCTTCTTCTTAGATACCTTATTTAGGAAAAAAATCACTATCTCTGCCCTGGTGCACCCCCCCCCCCCCCGAGTTTGTAGAAGAGCAAAAAACACACTATCTATACATTTTTATTGGCTGGAAATTCAGAGAATTGTAGCATCAGTGCAGCCAGTGAGTACCAGGCTGAGGAAGGGGCTGGAATAGGCCACAATGCCAACCAGCCATTTCACACTGTACTTCCATAAGAAGGAGAAGAATGAGACAAGCAGAAGATCCCAAGAAGAGTCTGCTGAATCAGACCCATGGGATATCTAGCCCAAGCATTCTTTGTCACACAACGTAGAGTAGCTTCTTTTCTGTTACTCTCAAGTAGCTGGTATTTAAGATACGCTGCTTGTAACTTGGAGGTAACAATCAGCTCTCAAGACAGGTGGCAACTCTGAAATTTTAGCAGGGGGCAGGTAGAGAGTTCTTGATCATCGGACTCCTAAATAATGGAAAATCCCGTTTCTGGACAGACTGAAATGCTATCAGAGCATAGAAAATAGGGCCTTGCCACCTGATTTCTTGAGTTCCACAATATCTGGAACAAAGATGGGGAATTTCATCCAATGATTCTGGGGGGAAATCCTGACCACAAGAAAGAATATTACCACACGCTGAAAAAAAGAGAACGTTGGAGTCAATGTTTACTGCTCCAAAAGGTGTTATAGGTAATATTATTAGTATAAACTACCTAGGCAGAGTATTTGTCTTTTAAGGCAGCCTTAAAAAAAGTTAAAAAAGAAAAGAACAAGAACATTGCCTTGACTGGAACAGAATGCTATGTTCAATACATTGTCCAGAAAATAAATCCTGTGTCAAATCAAAGGATCTGAGTTTTAAAATCACAGAATAATCAAATTCAACAGTGTGGGAAGTCAAACCCTTCCTAAAACTATTAAGCAGCTGAAGCCATCAGTTAGGAAATGTGCAATAAAGAGTCAGAACAGAAATATTTTAATTTTTGCCCTTCTTTTTTTGTCAACTCCTTTGTTCTCAAACTCACAAAAGAATAGGACAAAACACAAGGTCGGAAGCCACTTTTAGGAAAAACATATTTAATTTGTCAGACAACTCTGGATTTAAAAAAGCCTAAAAGAACCACTTCGCCAATCCCAGCTTAAAGAATGCTTGGATGAAACAGCAGTCAGGGACATTCCTCCTTAATCTTCCTGCCATCTACTCACAGCTTGCATCAGCAGAGGGAGATTACATCATTCCTCATTATCAGGACAGAGAATGTTTCACCCAAAAGCTAGAAGCAGACTCATCCCCTGGCAAGGCGCCCAACATCCTTCTCAGCAAGACGGGCCGAAATCATGACTCAATGCAAGCCTATTCAAGGCTAGCCATTGTTTGAGTCAGTATAAACTTGGTCCTTCCTCTTCCTGAGCAGACTCTAGAGGCAGGATAAGGTCCTTCTTCTGACAGTACAGGACAGCCTTTCCAATCAGAACACGGTCGAAAGAACATTCCTGGAGTTGCTGTCCCAGCACATTTGGAGGATGCTAGGTTGGAGAAGGCTGGAAAAGAATCTGCCTGCACAAAATGCTTAAGATAAAAGTAGGCTTAACTTCAGAGGATACCAGTCTACAAGCCCAGGAGAAGACCTGATTAAAAGGTATGGCAAGAAGTTAGCAGTGCTTCTCTTATCAAGGTAGTTTCCTCTTCCTGCCAGCATACGAGAGAGAAACAGCACCCCTTTTCTGCCCAAAGTGGGAAGAGGAAGCAAAGAGAAAAGTGATGATGCTAGTAGCATGAAGACAGGCAGGCCATAAGCCAGGAACTAGCACCAAAAGGCACAAAGAGGAAGTGGGATATCACAAACAGGCCTGAGGGCATGTTAAATAGATTGATTGTGGCACAAAACTGCATCTCAGAAGCCCCCTCATCGGAGGCAGTTGGGAGACAAATCTACACAGGGGGAAGCGCATTATTTCAGAGCAAAGCCAGAGCCTGAACATCCCCCAAGGAACAGCACAAAAGATGAGAAAGGACAAGTCAGCAGAATAAAATATCCTGAGTGGATGTGACTCATTCTCACCTGGTGAGGACAAGGTAAAGCAAGATGAGTAATGCCAAAAAGAAACAATTACATTTCTGTAGTGAGACTGCCGCTCCCAGTTGCTCTTGAGGCTAGGTCTGATAGCATTCATTCCATAACAAAATTCCAGTTCAACAGCATAATCCTTTAAAATTGAAATAGTTTGTGAAGTTATGTAACACCGCCCACCTCTTGTGCTGCTGAGCCCTCTGGCCTCTCCTTGCAATTAAATTCCTGCACTTTCCTTCATAGTTCTGCAGCTTTTCCCAATCTAGGCCCTCCAGCTACCTTGCATTCCCACTCCCACGCTGGCTGAGATGATAGTTACAATCCTTCAGATCTAGAGAAGATCAAGTCAAGGAAGGCTTACCCTTACTAAAAGCACAACTGGCAATGAATCCTTTTGACAAAACAGTTACTGATAACAGTCTTGGAAATCCCACCATTTTATACTTCATAAAATGAAAGTACCATTTTAATGTTTGTCTCTGCTTATAGCTTCCCTCTTTAATGTCCACTGATGCCTCCAACATGTTCAACCACCAAGGTGGTTGTCAACACTATGTCAAATAAGAATGTTTAGATGCTGACCACAATATAAAATAGATCCTCCCCACTGCATACACACATTCAAAGTAAAATACAAGCATTTTTTAAAAAGTATATGGCCTTAATTTGCATAATGGGGAGGGGACAATAGAAGAGGAGACACTAAGGATTCCAAGAACAACATCATGATGTCACATTCCAGGGCTTGGTCCAAAGGCAGAAGGATTAGGAGAAAGCATATCATACTTCATATAAGAGTCCAAGAGTTCTTGCTGCATTTGACCAGTTTCTCTCCATTAAGAAGAATGACCTCTATTAAGAAGAACTGGAGTGATACCCTTCTAATTTCCAAAGCACTCTCTTGTGGGAGTGGGCATGAGATGGGAAGATTCAGGAGGCATCTATTCATCCATCAAGAGGCTGAATTGTATATTGTAGATTGGAACTTCTCAGTACTGGTAACACCATATTCGTACAAGATGAACAAGATTCAACACACTGAACATGGTCCATCATTGGTGGGGTGAAACTGAGAGAGGGCCTCAAAGTACTGGCAGAACAGAGGTGGAATTATAAATTTGACTGAAGGCTCCAAGGAGAATAGAAGTCCCACTGTTCAGAACACAGAACAGGAGATGGCATCCTGACCCAGTGACCCAGATTTACTGTAACAGATGTCAAGCAGAACACTTGGTTTATGCATGAGAAAAAGAAACTGGATTGCCTCAGCGACCAAGATGAAATTTTCTCAGTTCCCAGGATGACATCTCCATCTCTTTCTGAGGCCTTGCCCCAGTTATATGCTCCTTTGTGAAGGCAGGCTTTACAAGCATCTTCAAGGAACAGGATGTGCGGATATCAGGACTCAAGACTTCTACCATCTGTTCTTGCTATATGGAGAGGAAGCCTAAGACAAAACAAGACATTAAATTGTTAGGTTCTTTACATTAGGAAAGGTATTTGATTCAGAAGAAGTAACTGAATGTAAGTTGAAAGAGACAGACTGATCAATTTTACCCACAGTGTATAAGCTGACAGCAGCAGCAGGAAGGTCAGATCCACTAATTATATCAGTTGTTGGATGGGACAAGAATTCAGTTGCTCCTAAGATTACAACAGAATAAACCAAGGCTCACCATTTTACTCACCTGCCCATTCCTTCCATCTTTCTGAGCCAATGCTTGCTTACTCTGTGAAATATAGGCATCATCAGCACGCAGGGTAGAATTGGCACTGCCCATCACTTGGCTGTTGGCTGTAGCACGAGGGAGGATGACATCGTAAGGGGCATCCAACTGGAACCAACAAAAAGAATAAATATGAAAAATGGAGTAAAAAGTATAATCAGAAAGGGAACCATGTTTTTGAAACATGGCTGCAATTTCAAAAGAAGCCAAACCTGTATTGCTGATGCCAAAATATTTGTGATGCACTAAAAAAGGCTTTTCAGAGACTTATATTTTCTCATTTCCTAACACAGTTTATAGGCTTAGATTCTCACTAAGCTCTATCAAACGAGCCCTGGCATCTTTTAACTTTGGTATTCTATGCTGTAGGTTTAGAATTGTGCAGGGGAAAATTGAATAGAACAAGAACAAGGAAGACTGAGATATTTCAAAGGCAAACCACTGTTAGTTAACTAGTAATTAAAAGGCACTATTCCGGAACAGTGAGCATAATTTATACCATTTCACTTGAGACCCTCAACTGAAAGTTTCAAACCTTTTCTGAACCCCTAAGCCTCCTGACTCCTTAATTGTACAAGATCAAAACTTTAATAAACTGCTGTAGAAAACCTGGTTCTCACAGGAAGCACCTGAGGCACTAGATCTAATGTAGGCAACATCATCTCAGGTGAGAGTAACTATAATTGAACAGCTCTTCATGACCTAAGCTATATGTGAGCTAAACCTCCTCTGCTTAGGAAAACAGAGATCAAGGGAATTTGCCATCTCACATCCTTCTGTGTTTGGGAACTACGCTTTAAATAGTTGCAATTACAATGTTTGTTTTTTTTAATATATTTTTGTTGTATAATGTTTTTTTCTTTCCTTGAATATTTCTGTATGGTAAGTTATTCATTTTTATTTTATTTGCATTATTTTATTTTATGTGTCTTTAAAAATTGACCAATGAAAACTATATATACAAAAAGAAATAAGATTAAAAAAAGAAAACAAAAAATTTGCAACCTTAGATTAAACATTAAAAACATTAAAACATTAAAAACATTAAAAAAAGAAACAGCCATGAGACTATCCAGCTCTTATTTACTGAATCCATACCCTCAAGGGACCCCTGCTTGTGATACCCCTTTTCCAACATCTACCTGACATAATTTCTGGATTTAACATTTCAGACAAGCCTCCACCTCTCTGGTCAGGCAGTCTCTTCTACTGACAGACTTTTATAGGTGTGGTTTGTTTTAAGTCTACCACACAACAAATTAAGCTACAGACAAGCAAGATTAGAAGGAGAAGCAGCTGCCAGCACAACCACACTTTCACTTACAGGCCCTTTGTGCATTAAAGTCATCTCCGTGGGCTGATAGACACTTGTCAGGAGCTGGCCATTGTATCCGCTGTATGGGGACACAGGCTTTTTAGCTGGAAAAAGAGAAACCGCAGGACAATAACATTTAAATACACCATCCCAAACATTTTCCAAAGGCAAAACTAGGTAGCATGGGTTGAATGACAAGCTCTGGAGAAGAACGCTGGTCAATTAACTTGCCTAAGATAACCGGTTTCTATATTTAACATTATGTTGATTTTCTAGCATGACCTCATAGGAAAGCTTCCCTTGAGACTCTAAGGTCTCATGTGAAATAAGAGAAAGATTATACTAAAAACAACTTTTGGGCCACATTTCCATGGATCTTCCTATGCCAAGAGCCACTACTGTAGAGTTAAAGATCTAATTACTCGTGGGAAAGTGATGTGTGTGTGAATTATCATGTTATTCCAGATCCAATCATAAAATCATGCCTAGGCAGTTTTTCTAGATTCACTATCTTCGTTTAGATTTAGGCAGTGATCCCACTTCCCTGGCTTTAGTAACTGCCAGGCATATTGCAATACAGCAGCGGGAGCTTTCCCTAGCTCTGGCAAAGGTGGCATTAAAATCGTAGCACAGTGGATTGGTGTGTCCTGCTACTTTTATAGCTCCAGGAGCAGGGGGAGAGAGAGAGAGAGAGAGAGAGAAACTTTAACAAACAGACCTACAAGTCCATACAGAAGTTCATACTTAAAAAAACCAAAAAAAAAGCTAAACCCTTACAGCTATACCCCAGATTATGCACACACATATACACCCTGCATACGCACACAGCTATATTTCTTTCAAGTGACTTCTTGCTGCTTGGAAGCACCGACTGATCAATGCAGTCCAATGAAATAGCCATCAGAAGGCTGCTGGGATTTTTGTTTCATAAGCCACCCATAAAACAAAGCCTTGTTTGTGGGTAGCTATAGACAAAGTAAGTTTTAATGAGCCCAAGGAGCTTGGAGACTTTCCGTGAATAAGAAAATCCATCTGGATTTATGGCACTCCAGAGGCATTGTTGGTTGTCTTGATGCTCTGAAGTTCAGCTCTCTCCAGCCCCAGCAATATGGCTGATGTAATCAGTAAGCCGACAATAAACCATAATTTCAAACTGACGCATGGGCCTAAAATAAATCATGCTTATTATACTGAGCCCATTTGTACGTGATACATAATCAACAAGTTCTATACTGCGTTGCATCTGATCTTAGCCTAAAGGCCAGTTTCTCTTCAAATCATATAAACCAAAAAGGTGGACCTAGCTACCTGATGTGCTATTCTAAACTGATTTTACCTTAGCTGAAAATAGTTTTAATATGGTATCTTGGTTTTTATTTATAGTATTACATTTTTATATCTCTCAGCAGGCAAAGATTCTGGGCTTTTCAAAAATTAGGGATATTTCTGAAGGCATGAGCCTAGAAATCTTGCAAATAATAAATTTACATCCCAGTTATCACTATATAAACTAAGATGTATATTTATTTCCTCCCACTTAAATACAGCGTTAAATCTTTATTTTATTCTATGTGTAAATTTTAAGACAGAAAACCCCAAGTCATTTAGCAGCTCAGATTTAGCAAAGCCTGCCTGAATTTTCATGATCCTATGAAAAATATAGCTCCATCTAGCTACTGTTCAACATGTAGCATAGTTAGAAAATTCAACTACAAAATGAGAGGAGACAAGAAATAAGATCATAGAAGAGAAACCAGATGGCCAGTTTGCTTGGATCAATGCTATCTAAACTTCCTACCCCACAAGTATGCCACAATGACAGTACCATTCTTGTGCAAATTACAGGATATATAGAGCCACCGGGAATCTACAAATACAGGGAACCATAGCAGCACACCATGAGATAGGGAAAGAGTAGTGAACCTGATTCTCTATCACCACCATGTGCATCCATTCCCTCATCTTCTCCAGCTGGGTCACAGATACTGATGATCATGATACCCACCCATAGGCAACATTGTGCTAAAAAAAGGAAGTGGGGAAGCAGAGCAAATGCACCCATTTTTCAGTAATCATGTTTATGCCTACATAAAAACATGGTGGGTTAAGTTTAGCAAGCATAACCCAGAATGCAGTTCCTTTGGATACACTGTGTCTTTTCCTGGTCTCCTCACCAATAGCTCATGGGCCAAAGCCTACCTGAAGAAGGTTCATCCATTGAGAAAGCTTTGTTCTCCACGAACATGCTTTGGGATTTCTGTTCCTTGAGGATTGTTTCATAGCCAACCCCTCGTGTGGGGTAGACATCATCCTCATAGGCCTGCTCTGGTCCTGGTTTGATTACCTGAGAAATCTCAGGGATAACATAAAACAAAACAAAAACAGAGGCATTGGAGACAAGGGCAATAGCCAATGTGGGGTCATCCCAAGTTGATCTCTGTTCCTGCTGGTTGCCATAAACATACATAACAATCCATACTATCCAGATGGCCATGGAAAAGGAAGTAGTGAGGAGGATGAAGACAGCATGCTTTCTCCAGTGCTTGTAATGCCCACACAAGACAGGCCAAGTAGCAATGAAAGTAGCTACTTGCAGGAACATTACGTAGATCAGTGCCATGACAAAGTCCTCATTCTTCAGTTCACAAGGATCCTTGGATGTACCATCAGTCCTCACCACAGTAATAATAAGCCATTCAGCATTGATTATGATCTCAACCAAGACAAGGACCAAGGCCATGCCAAAGGTGACCCACCCCCGAGGCCCGGTGTTCTGTCGTGCAAAGAAATTGAGGCTGAGGGTATGGGCAGCCAGGCAGGAGAAGCAGATAGCAAAGAGGACACCAAAGAGGAAGCGTCTTGAAGCACATGTTGAGAAGTCTTGCTTGACTATGAAGGCAAAGGTCAAGCAGAAAAGCCCAAAAGTGCCCAACAGAAAGAAAGCTTGAGTCCCTACTAAGCTCTTCTTCCGGTAGTCTTGAATAAAAGGCACACTGGCCACTAGGACCACAGTGAGGACAAAGCTGGTCACAACACCAAAGCTGGCCACAGCTTCTAACACAATGCCCCAAGCTATAGATAGGTCACAGAGATTGTAGTAGATGGAGTTCAAGTCCTTGCCACATCCTGGTGGTGGTGATGGTGGTGGTGGTGAAGTCACTTGAGCTAAGCATGTTTTCATGGGAAGCACAAGAAGCCAAAGACATGGCAGTAGTGTCCTGGGTGCAGCCATCATGGTGGAATGATGGTAAATATTCTTGGCTCTTCAGAAAAGAACTAAAAAAAGAAAAAAAGAAAAGATACAGTCTATATGAAAATGCATGAGGTATTTTGAATCATGTACCAAGGATCACACTCCAAAAGTGGACAGAACCAGGACAAAGTAGGGTCTATTAAACCTGAATAAAATAAATACTATCCAAATGATTACTTTCTCTACTTAATACCTTACTCCTTGTGCCACATTAAACATTATAATACAGTGGTAACCTTTAGAAGGGCTATGCATGCAGGGTTTTGGAGGCCCATATGAAGCCTTGAGGCCTCAGGGTGAGTCCTCCAACTCCATTCTAGTGATAGTACAGGCCTATGTTGTTTAGACCTCTTTGGTTCACCTCTTCAAGTACCTTTAAGAGCACTGCCAGGCTTTAGCAAGCCAAAGGAAAAGTTGTCTGCCTGTGTTGATTATTACCCTTAGTAATACTGGTGAAGATAGAAATGTTGTTTACAGGAGTGGGGGAGGATAGGCAAGGATCAAGGTTCATTTGATACAGCACTAGTACTTGAAAGCACCTTTCCATGAGGGCCAAACTACATGTTCCAGAGGACAGCTAAATTTAGAACTTTTAAGTAGTTACAAGAGCCTTCAAGTTAATTAAAGTAACTGTGCTGGGTGATTGAATGCTATTTATGAGCCTTATCCAGCTTGATGACTCTCTGAAAGTTTAAGTTCCATTGCCACCAACCATGGGCCATGCTGGCTGGGGCTTAAAAAACATTGTACTCCAATACATCTGGAAGATAATGTATTGGGAGAAGGATGGCTCAACCCTTTATCCTGAGTTGCTTCTTAAATCTAGATCACAGGAGGCTAATAGTTAAGTTAATTTCCTAATCTTTGTAGCTCATTTAGCTATTATCAGCAGCACTCAGATCAATTTAAGGGCCCCTGGGCCTGCAGTTTCATAAAGCCAGGAAATCCAGTAGTAGGTATCCAACACAACATTGATTTTGTGTCTAGTTTAAAAGAACTGCAGCCAATATGGCCAGTCAGTGGCTGCCTTTCCATGACACAGACTCAAACTAGCTAGCCACTTTTAACCTAATGGTTGACCAAGCCTATGTAAATAGTTCATGGCTCAGTGAACACAGAAGACTAGATTAACTCCATAAACTAGAGTAAAACTGATTCTGGGTAAAGCATGATGTGAACACAACCAACAAGGGGGTACATAGGTCAATGATTTGATTGCTATAAGGCAATTCTTTATATTTCTATCTCACCCTGTTCTGAGGTTTACAACACAATTACAAACTTAAAGCAGTCTGAAGGACTGTACTGAAAAAGTATTATAAAACTGAACTGTAGAAGTACAAATCAAATCCTAAACAAAAAATTTTTTAAAACCTTAAGAGAATCTGGCCAATGCAACCAATTAAAATTGAAGGCTGGTAGAAAGAAAAAAGCCATCCTCTGATGCCAAAACCTACAAGCAGCTGATTTTCAGAAAGGCTCAGCATAGGGCAGACAATGGCAATAGCCACCAAGCAGGTGGCCTGCCTAGATTAGAAGGAGAGGCTTTTCACTCCCCTCTCCCATTCCAGTTTCCGGGGCAATCAACATATTAGAACCATACAAGAGGTAGACAGGGTATCCTGTCGACGGGAAAGCGCTGGTTCCAAGCCTTGCACTGTCACAAAGGCTGCCCAGAATCATTTCCCTTGCACCAAGTCAAGACACTAACCCCACTAGCTCAGTAATACACACATTGACTAGGAGTTTTTCTTCCTCCTTCCTAGAAATGGCCAAAATTAGTTGTTCTACCAATAGCCTGCTTTCGGTTGCTACTGGAAAAGCCCAAGCGCTGAACAATATTAATGTAAACATTTACAAAGGTTCAAACCAAGCTCATGAGAGAGGCCTTTCCTTCTCCTGCAGGCCAGGAGAAAAGGTCTGCATCATCTCCCCCTTCATCGGCTAAGGCATAGCAGAGCTGCTACTGACAGACCATGAAGTCTGCAGGGGGAAAAGGAGGCTGACTGCTTCGAAAATGCAGCTCTGACGGAGGGAGAGAGAATGTATATACTCCACATAAAGAACCTCTTTTGGGGAACAACCATAACAACAAGAACTCCCTCCCTCCCCCCCAGCACTGTAAAACATTTCCCAGATTGGCTGTGTTCCTCTGAAATATCATCCTCCAACCCTCTCTTGGGCTCTCATTCAGGCCTGCTTGGTTCCCAGGCTCAAAGGAGTCCATGTAATTCCTAAAGAGGGAAACTCTCTCACATGCCCTCCAAATCTGATTACTGCATGACCAGGATTGATCAGGGCTAATTTGTGTTCCAGGGGCTTGGTACCTGGGAGCTCAGTAGACTTTGGTTTCCTCTCTATTTAGAAGGCAGCTCCCTCTATAAGCCCCAGCTTTTCCTCTGGGAATGTAGATCCTCCTCATATCTATGGAGACAGGATTATTTGGGTCTAAAAGGCAGCCAGCCAACACAAGCTACCTTCCAGTTCCATTGGAGGAAGCTCTTTGGGCTGTTTCTGCTCAGCCAAACTATCATCCCATTTGCTGAACCTTACAACCTAGAGATGAACCCTTAAACCAGTGTTGTCCAAACTTGGCCACTTTAAGATGAGTGGACTTCAACTCCCA